GTTATTGCCCCACCCTGTATATTCCTACATAAGGGAATGCTATATCTTATGTATAAATGCGTACGGCTTTCTCTCTCTCTCTCTCTCTCTCTCTCTTTCTCTCTTTCTCTTTCATTCTCTTTGGCAACGATTTTCGAGTGTAAATTACAGTGCTAGTTTCTGATCTTCAATATAGTCTTGCGAGTTGCAGCACTACGAGACTTTTATATAGTACAACTGCACTGCCAAAAACATGAATCGTTTAAACAGCTTCCTTTGCTATTTCCGTTTCAGCTTGTTTTGAGTTTGTTTTGTTATCTTGTCGGCCAAATATCTCGACTCGCAATAAAGTAATTTTCTACGAGTATTATACCGATGGAAAATAATTCATTGAATTGACTTAACGAATAAAACGTTCTAGATATTGAAATTTAATTAATAGAAATATTTTGTTATACGCGATCATTTTGATGTTTTACAAATAATTAGCTATTTGAAGCAAAAATGAAAAAAAAATAGAACAGAAAATTGATAAATTATTTGTAGGAATTATAAATATTTTTGTTGAATTTGCATTTCTGTATTCTTAGCTATAAAATCATAATATAAATTATCGTTTTAGCGATAAATTAATTATATTAATTATATTGTCATAATTTGTTGTGCAATGATATTGTTTAAAAACCGAATGTTTGAATTATTATAAGAAACAAAATATTGACATTTTGAATTTGGTTGTATATTCAACTCTGTTAGTAAAACAAGTTGAAAATGTAGGGTACCAAGAGTAAATAATTCTTAATTGGATTAATTAACACGATAGTTACATGACAGTTAATTGAAAGGACGTATGTAGTTCTTAATTATGCGTTGCAATGAGTCGGTAGATCAATCATTTGAAAAATTATTAGTTTGTTCAAAACACACGAATATTATCGTATGAATGTTGAACAAATTTCGTTGATTGTATTCTAATATTTTACACTTGTTCATAACTTTAATACTTAATTCAATATTATTTTAATATTCTTATATATTAAAAGTAATCACAATTGTATCTTTCTTTGTTATAAGTAAAAAGTAATCATGAAATTTACACTCACATTAACACATATATTTTAAGTTTTTATTTAAAAACTACAATTAACTCGAGCAAATTATTTTATATGAAAATGAATGCAATTTTTGAGTTTTAAAAAAATTTCCAAATAATTTTTAATCGCACAATTTGAAAACGTGTTTCTACACTAACAATGGCCGCTTGTAAAATAAGCTATTTTTCGAAGCACGATAAGACGATATTCGTACGGTCCGAGTACTGCAAACCTACTGAGAGTTTGGACCATCATCGTTAATTCTATGCGATTCTAACTCCGCATTCAAACTATGCGGTCTCTAATTTATATTGTCACACATGCAGATATGCGTGTCGTGTGCGACGTTAATAAAATTATTTTACTTTGGTTTAAAACGAAAAATCAATATTGTCTATCAATTGATGTATCATTGAATATCAGCAACTCATGAAAATAAATAGAAAAAACCCCCAAAAAATTCCCTTTCGATTTGTTTTTAATTATATCGAGAAATATAATAATAATAATTGTTCATATTAAATTGTAGAAATTTTAAATGTGTTTTAATGCAGGAAATAATTGTTTCGTTTGCAATATAAAAAACGTAATTTACATTTTTATGATAATTTCTCTTATATATTTGTAATCATTAATTTAGACATATACACACATACATGCACGTTTGACCCGTCTAATTCGAGTATATTCCACTTTATCGGAAGAATGACGTCTATTTTAGATTTCGAACACACCCTCTCTTTCTCTCAGGTACTTTCAAACACGTGAGCTTTGATTAGACGTTAACAAGACTTTCCTCGGTTTAGAGAATTTGAATTTACGCTTTCTGCCTTGTCGAGTTGAACACACAAGAAGTCATTGAAGAGTCAGTGGTTTTGGAATCGTCTCAAAGTTTGGCGAATATTAAGTATCATTGTTATTCGTTATAATTGAATTTGAAGAAGTGAAGAATAGAAATAGAATTTATACAAAAGAATCATCGCAAACACTCATATTTAAAAAGAGAGTATACACTTTTTCATTATTAAATAAAATTTAAAAAATATCTAATAAAATCATCGACATGTATTTCGTATAATTGATATTAAATTGTTTTAATCAGTGCTTTTTCTTTTTGTAAAAAGAAAAATGAAAGTTGCAGGAACTAATTTATCGTCAAACTTTTTATTAAAGAAAATTATATATATATATATTTTCAAATATATTAATTTAAATAAAATTTAAATCACCTTTTTCCTATGGAACTCATCAAAAATTAAACACAATTTATCCTAATTTATATTTTATTTTTCAAATAGGATCAAATCTAAATACCATATCTTATCATTTGCTTATTTCTTTTTTATTTATTCTCATTCTTTTTTGAATACTATTTCTTATTTGTTTGTGAAACATTAAAAATACGTCGTAAGCCGTTTCAGTGCGTTGCCCATCCAAAAAAAAGGACTGGTTGTAATACAATTTGTTTTACGTCGCATTAGACTAATCGAAACGTATTATATTTGATTATAATTTGTTATCGCATATAACGTACAAATGTTGAATTTAAATTATCTGTAATTTAGAACAATATTCTGCACATATTACTTAATATGGATTATTTCCGGTTGATATATGTTTAATACAATTTTCTCACTTACGTTTTATTAGGCGAATTAATGAATATAATATTTGAACTAAGGCGAGTAAAAATATTTGATTTATTCGTTTGTGAGATTAAAATGATATCGAACATGTGTCTAGTTCATTAAGATATCTGCCGTTGCAAGGAATAAACGTCTCGTGTCGTTACTTCAATATATTTGAATTGTAAAATATTGGATTTATGTATGTATTCATCGAGAAAAATTGTATGGCAAATAAATTTACATTCATTTATATCGTAAAAATAAAGCAATGTAACATCACCGATATCAAGAATTGATGTTACAAATTGTGAGAAAACGTGTACGCGTAATTGACAAATTTTTAAACATACGAAAATAAAAAAAAGTGTACAAATTTTATTTTATACTTAGATTAATTTTTCCCCCCTCTGTGTGTGTGTTCGCTTGTTACAAGACGATTTATATAATTCAGAGATATAACGATTATTTTCCTTCCATTCAAATTTATTCGAAACCTCATAGAATTGGCGCCACGTGTTTAGTTACTTTTTTTTCTATTCGTTGGTCCTCGAATGAAAATAGACCAATCCCTAGAAATCAAACAAGTTTCGAAGGTCAGGCAATATTATTGGTTGTCCGTTTAAAGAAAACTACGTGAATAGAAATAAAACTATTTCCTTGTTTTTTTTAATAGACTTTTTACACATTTTATTCACTTTTGTTATAATCCGCAAAATTTTTTTCCTTCTTATTTTTCATTTATTAATGTTTATATAATTTATATTAATTTATAAACACTGAATTAGGCAAAGATTATTATATACGTTGATTCCATTTGACTTATTTATTATAGGACTAAGGGTTCTCTATTTAGTAGCAAGCGATAGTGAGCCATTTCTTTCTTCGTTGTCTATTTCGCTTCTTAACTGAATCCTTTGTGACAAGCATCGTAAGTTATATCTTATATTTTATTTAATTTATTTATACTTTTTAATTTTTATTCGAATCAAGGATGATATATAAGTGTAAACAATTAATTAAATAAATTCTATTTAATTAATTAGGCACATTTAACTTAGGATATTACGTATTTAACTTTAAACGTTGAATATAGCTTTCCTTTTGTCGGATGAATTTGATTCGGAACCGTTAAACTTGTTTGTCAAGTAATATATTCTTTTGTGTATTTTCTTTTTTTTTTTCTTTTTTTCTTTTTTGGTAAAAGCTTCTTATTTATTTTTATGAATGTAATGTTAAACTTTGATGATATAATATTATTTGCTGACTTTTTTTTTTTAATTCGTTTTATTAAAGGACTTAGATCGTTACAGGAAATATTCGGTATACTTTGTTTACAGTATCACGAGTATTTTTGTTTCTATTATATAAATAATGGATATAATAAATTTAATTAATTAATTAATTAATAAGTTAATAAGTTAAGTTTTGTATTAATAAGTAATGAATATAACGGATGCTCGCGCACTCGACAAATTTTCAAATTTATTGTTTTCGAAAACAAAGCCATATATGAACAAATTTTATTTGACAAATTCTACTTAGTTTTTCATGTAGAACCGACCTATCCACTCTCGTATTGTCGATGATAGGACATCATTTATATATGTTACCGTTAAAGTATTTAATTAAGTTACTTTATAAAATATTAATTAAAGATATATATAAATATTAATAAAAGATAAATAGGTGTTCCAGGAAAATCATATAAACCGAATTTTATTATACATTTCGATTAGTTGTATTTTAAATTAAATAGATATTATATGAAATAATTATAGGTATCTAGTTATTGTTTCATGACTCCATTATTAGTTATTTTTTCGATTTTTTCAATAAAAAATCATTTATTACAATACCTTTGGTTTTTTTGGACATTTCTAATTGTACAGTAATCCCCTTTTCTTTTTTTAAACAAAGGTATCTTTTTGTCTTATATTTTGGGATACAATAATAGCGAGTAAAACCTTGTTCATTATGCAAGGTTTGGTTTGACGCTACAATTTAAAGGAAATTGAATTTTTTAATTCTTTAGGCTTGAATTAAATAATAATAATATTTTAATAAACAAAATTCAGTTAATTAAATTTTTTTTATGTTTTATTAATTAAATACACACGTACTGCTAGCACTGATTGCTGGTAAAGCTTTCAGTTTTTCAGCAAATTTTCTCTGGATCAAGCCTATTTTTACGAATTATAACTCTAATACGCGTTTGAACGTGATACTTTTAAAGTCGATAGAACGATGAGATTAGCAAAATATTTGTTTTCAAAATATAAGAGGAAGTAAAAACGAGTGACTACGATCAGTATTGTTCTGTAAACACGAGCTGACCTTAGATACTGATATAATCTCAATTTCATAATTTACCAACTCATCTCTCGCAAATGAATATATTATTTAATTTCAGAAGTATAAATATCTCTACATTATATTTCATACTTAATCTAGTTTGTATAGTTATTTCGTATAATAGCAAATTATTTCATGAATTAACAATAACATATTATATATCTATATATTTATTTTTGGTCGAAACGTTATTCATAAATTATTTCTATTTCTTTTTTTTTTTTTTGTTTCTTTTTTTACTTTTACTAATAAGTTGTTGTTTTTTGTATTGTTGTTACAGATGTCTCTATATTTAAATAGCTTTTATCTATGGCAACTGATAGTAATTTGTGGCGTTCCATTTTCAATTTGGTTGGCAGCAATAATTATTGATATATTTAAAGAGGTAAAGTAACGATTGTAAGAGAATATATATCCTAATGTATACATTTATCATAATATAATTGTATTGATTGTTTAGAGACGTACAATTAAGTTGAAAGCTAAGGATAATAATATACTAAATAAAGAAACCGAAAGACAGATATCATTAAAAAGAAGACATCTTCCATTATTTAAAAAAAATAATAGCTGGGTGATAAATCATATTCAGGAAGAAACTAAAACAAAGATAACGTTTGTAATAGATACTCTACGACGTCCTGATCGTCAACTCCTAATTAGAGGACCTTTACAAGGCGTAATTGAAGCTGATAAAATGATAAGAAAGGCTGTAAAAGATAAGTGTGATGTTGATGTGTACGACATGGGCATCAGAATAGAAAGCGTAGATAAATTCATTGGAAGAGAGAAAGACATTATAAGAGACATACAAGGAAATTCAGGCGCAAATCTTATGATAAGAAGTGAAGTTGATCCTTTGTCAGGTAATATATTATTAGGAAATATATTTGAAAATAAATTTGTTTTTATAAAAAATTAATCTATCTCAATGTGTATTTGAATGTTGTATATATTTATTAATTGAGATCAATTATTTTACAGGTCCTATGGCAAGAATATTAATTACAGGTACTTGTAAACAAATTTCTAAAGCAATACCATTAGTTGAAGCGAAACTTAAGAATTACACGGAAACAAAAGTTACCAGTTTGTTTGCAAAGCGCGAACCAATACTTCCAATACCAGATTTAAAATTATTGGATTTGCTAGTGATCGGTTAGTTTATAATAAATGTATCAAAGTTTCTTGTGTTCGTTATTAAATGTAATTAATAATTGACATTTTATATATATAATATGTAGGACAAGAAATGCATATACACGTAGAGGTACGAACAATTAAGAATCCTTCACATTTTTATATCCAAGTTGATTCATTGCAAGAAATTGAATCTGAACAGTTACAAACTGAAATGAATGAGTTTTATAATAATTCGATTAATCTCAAAACATTAGTAATGTACAATGTAAGTATTTAAAATAATATTCTATACTAAAAATAATTCTCATAACTGAATGTAAGTTTTCGTTTTTTTTTTTTTTTTATGTAACAGCTTAAAAAGGGACATATAGTTGCCGTAAAAAAAGAAGATGGAAATTGGTATAGAGCTGAGATATTGGAAGTACATGATGACCACTGTCTTCTTATGTTTATCGATATTGGAGTTCAAGATACTGCTAAAAAATTTGATATGTATGAGATGCCTCAATATTTCGTAAGATTCGTTGTACAAGCATACGAATGTATGTTAAGCAACGTAGGAGAACCGTAAGTAAATGTTATTGTTATATATATATGTATACATAAACTGTCAGTTATTCTTCCTTATATAATACATAAATATATAAGTATCTTCAATTTCGCTATATGAACCTAATGAAACGTTATATAGACAAATTTTCAATATTTTTCAAATGCTTGATTAAACATTTACATGGATATTTCGATAATCTAGTAATATCCTAAGAAATATTACCAGGTTACAAAAAAATAATTAATACAAAATAAATTTACTTTAAAGCAGATATATGATATCAGGGACAAACTATTTTGTTCAGTTACGCGTTGTATTATTTATATTTTTATTAATCGAATCAACTTTATCATTCTTTTTCTAAAAGAAATCTTTACATCCTAATTTTATAATCTTTTAGATTAATTTTATGAGTTAATAATATCATTTCTACATTCAATTGGAAATAATTTTTTTTTTTTAATAATTTCTGATAAACTCAACGTATTAAAAAATTAAATTAGAAGCCGCGTCGATAAAAGAAGTTCACTGGTCAATTAATTTATATAATAAAAATGAAAGAAAATAAAAATCGTTGCATGCATGCATACAATACATATATTGAAATCAAAATGTATTTTGACGTGATACAATCAATTGTATTTTATACGTCATGTATAAACGTATACGGTTTTCTGTTTCTCTTTTTTTCTCTTTAGCTATGATTTTCGAGTGTAAATTACGACGCAAGTTTACGATATTTAATATAGTTTTACCGAGTTGCAGCACTACGCGGCTTTTATATAGTACAACTTCATTGCCAAAAACATGAATCGTTTAAACAGCTTTCTTTGCTATTTTCGTTTCAGTTTGTTTTGAGTTTGTTTTGTTACCTTGTCGGCCAAATATCTCGACTCGCAATAAAGTAATTTTCTACGAGTATTATGTAGATGAAAAATAATTTATTAAATTGACTTAACGAATAAAACGTTCTAGATATTGAAATTTAATTAATAGAAATATTTTGTTGTACGCGATCATTTTGATGTTTTACAAATAATTAGCTATTTGAAGCAAAAATGAAAAAAAAAATAGAATAGAAAATTGATAAATTATTTGTAGGAATTATAAATATTTTTGTTGAATTTGCATTTCTGTATTCTTAGCTATAAAATCATAATATAAATTATCGTTTTAGCGATGAATTAATTATATTAATTATATTGTCATAATTTGTTGTACAATGATATTGTTTAAAAACCGAATGCTTGAATTATTATAGGAAAAAAAATATTGACATTTTGAATTTGGTTGTATATTCAACTCTGTTAGTAAAACAAGTTGAAAATGTAGGGTACCAGCAGTGAATAATTTTTAATTGAATTAATTATCACGATAGTTTCATCTAATGATAGTTAATTGAAAGAAGACGAAGCGGGAATCCCACTGTAAGAGTATATTTTGTAATTATGTGTTGCAATATGAACCGTAGAAAACATTTCTTCGTCATTACGTTGACGAGTGATGTACAGTTAAATTTAACAAACACCAATCATTTGAAAAATGATTTTTTTGTACGAGTAATATAAAAGTTACTTAACAAATTACAAGTTACAACGTATATTTAACAGAATATTTTTTTACCAATTCATAATTCTATTGCTTAATTTAATTAATTCGGTATTGTCACTTATTCAAAATGATGATAACAATTTTATTTCTTTCTTTTTCTTTTTCAAATCAAATGTAATATATATAAAAACAAAAGAGAAAAAGAGATAAAGATAGAGATTAAATATTTTTAACGTAATTATATCATTTTCAAGATCTCCCGAAACACTTACAACGAAATAATTTTAGGATTCATTTTCGTATTTATTTGTAACGCATAATGAATCTTATGTGTGACAATCGTAATCAAAAAAAAGAAGAAAAAAAATTCTATTTTTTTTTTTTTAATATAAAAATATGTCTATTTCTAAGACATTTGAGAAATGTTTTCTATGCATTTATAAAAATATCTAATTTTGTTTGTATGTTTTTCAATTTAGCGAGGGTGGATGGACAGATGAAGGCATTGCAAGATTTAAGGAATTGTGTGATGTTAAATCTACTGAGAAACTGTGTATGCACGTTAAAAATACTAAAATAGTAATACGAGCTAAAGCAAGTACTCGAAAACACGTTTATGTGATCGATCTTTTTAAGGAGGTAGGACAATTTTTTATATCGATAAATTTTCAAACTTATTTTTATTAAAAATATGATACCTTATATGAACACATTTTATCCCACATATTCTACTAAACATTTCACGTAGAATTATCCCCTGTTCTCTTATACCACTTACAGGACACCTTGTATATATATATATATAAATATTTGTTAAACAATTGGAAATAATTTTCTTTCTAGGACTTGAACATCGGTGTTACATTACGTAAAGAAAAGCATGCAATTCTATTTAACACTATGACGAGTTATGTAAGTAATTATTTTTCACGTATACATGTAGAAATATCTGACATTTTTATTTATTTCTTTCTTTTTTTTTCCTTTAAAATGTAGTATAAGAGTGTTCCAACAGAAGATGAGGTAAAGCTTAAGGAATTGCTAAGCAGTTTTAAGACGTATAAAGAAATGGATGAAGACATAGACGAAGAATTAGAAACAGAACAAGAATTTATTGATCTGGATTTGGATGAAGAGTTTGATAGTGGTGATCATGATAATATTAATAATTTGGTACATTTATTGAAAACTACTCCTAACATTTCTGAAGATAAAGTTCTTAATAACGTGCCCATACTTAGAAAACGAGCTAAAATATTTATGAATGATGATAATTCGAATGCATCGTTTTCTGAATAATCAAAAATTAAGCTAAATTAAGATATATAAGTTGCATGTATCAAATGAAAAACTAATAAGTAGAATGATAACAGTACAAATGGAAGTTCTAATCAAGAAAATGATCATAAAAATAAACATTGTCCAAACTGAAGTTTTTATAAAGAAAGAAAAAAGAAAAAAGAAAAACCATCATCAATACATAAATGTCGACATTGAACGTATGATAACGCTTAATTGCTTGCATTGTTAAAAAAAAAAAAGAAAGGTCAATTAAATCAATTGCTTCCACCTTTGGAAGGGAACTATAAATCTTAGCATTGGTCTCCCTACGTTTAGTTCAAATTCGTAAATTTTTCTTCATCATCTACAATTCACACACAATCAGATAAATAATATAAATTATTTATTTTGTTTTTTTTAAACTTTTCAATTACCTGCGATTTTTTTTTTATTTTGATTTTATTTTTTAACAATAATTAATCCATATCGATATTTTTCTTTTTGTGAGATATAATCCAGCAACAAAACACAATGCCCTTGCAAAGCAAGAATCAAATAAATCAGTTAATATAATGCGCAAATTAATGATATATCTATTACCTGAAAATTATTAAAGGATTCCTACTAATTACTTCTTTTTTTCGATTTATACTTAAAGTATATTATACATGTAAACATTTATCTATGTAAAATTGTCGTTATTACTTTTCCTTATATGGATTTGAAAAACTTTTGGACAAATTTTTCAGATTTTTCAAATCCTTAAAAAGGATATAGCAGTAACGACAATAAATATTTGTGTATGTGTGTGTGTGCATATTTTTATTACTCTTTTTTTTATCGCTAAAAGATTAATTCTTTAGTTTATATTAGGTCGAATATTATGAATAACGACTCGTTTTTTTATACTAATGGGTTAACCAAACCGAAAGCAATATCTTTTTATTTTATCACCACCCATTAGTTGTACCATTGTAATTCCTCGGATTCCATTGGTATCTCCATTTTAAGATACCAATGTAAAAGATTCAAATGATGATCCTTAACACTATTTTCATTATCATTTATAACAATGTGCTTTGTGCTGTTAAAGCATTTTTGGAATAGTTATTCATAATCGCGATTACTATTATATCGTTGATCGTAGTTTCGTTTCATGTTTATAAAATTTTGATATTCTTTCGAAACAATGCAAACAGAACTTGTACGCGACCTAATGTATACATTTATTTGTCGGACTTTTATTAACTTTTTGTTATTTATCTTTTGTTCCTTTTTTTCGCATAATTTTCCTCGTTTATATATACATATATAAATGTATATACATATATATACATATATATACATGCAAATACATATATATATATATATATNCATATATATATAATATAATATATATATATTTATATATATATATAGATATAGATATAGATATACATCATTTCATTCATGCAACATAACCGCGATTTATTTTGTCGATTAATAATAAATTTGCATTTTTTAAGAGGAATATTTTGCAAAAATACAGCGTTTACGTATAAATATATATAAAATTCTGATGCAAATTAATTAACCGACAAATATAAGTTAAAGTCACAACAGATTGTGAATAAGTTAATCTTGGCTATTCATTTGTTCGTTTTTAATATATGTAATTGTGTTTATTGTCCATTTAACGTATTGGAATTATAAAAATAAAATGTGTCACGAAGGAAAAAAGACAAAAAAAAAAGTTCGATCAAGAATATTATAAAGTATACGAAATTATCTTTCGAACAAATTGTTCTAACGTTATTAATCCCTTTCACTTTTCTTTCCATTATGATGCTTTCGATTGTCATGACTACCGTGTCTGGAAGATAAAATAGTAGTTTTTCGGGATTTCTTGCACGGAAGTAAAAGTTACCTGTACAACCGCAAAATAATAGACAACGGTGAGGTGTGCGCAGAGGTGGTTCAAAGAAATAAGCGGAACCTAATCATTGAAAGTCAAGCTATGAAAAGAAAATGACAATATATATATATATATATCTAAAATGGACTAACGTAAAACATAAATATAAAGTTTTTATAACGTGAAACTAAAGTTTCTTCTTGGCGTAGATCAATATGTATCTTTTTACTCTCCCTTTTTTTATGGGTTCGAGTTACTTTACTAAGAATACTTTCTCACATCTATCCAATATTATCAAAGAGGAATAAACAACGGCACGGTGTGTCTTTTTCCAAATGGGTCACCCATCAATTTTATTAACCTCACCCACCATGTTGCTTCGTTTTAGCGATCTGACGGTAATAACGTGCCCAAGTTGTTGACTGTTACGCATTTATTAATATAAAATATATACAACAAAATTCTATCATCGTTTACCACTTTTTAATGTACTACATATAATGACAAAAAAAAAATAAAATCATTCGTGTTACACTTTGATCGTTAGACAATGACAAATATATATATGATAAAAGCAAGAAAAAAAATAAATATGTATAAATAAAAGAAAAAATCAAAATATTTCCATATCTTCGCTATATATATATATATAATACTTCTATAATTATAAATATGATAAATGTATATGGTTAAATATATATATATATATATAAGAAAAAAACGTACGCAAGGTAATAACGACTAATAAGATTTACAATTGGGATGGACAAACTTAACAAGAGAAATGGATTGCAATCATCGGGTCTTTGAAAACACGGGGAACTTTTTTTAACCCGGTGTACGAGAAAGCTGCGGCCAAGCGGAATCGTATAAAACACGGCTGACGAAGACTCTCTCCTCAGTTCATCTAACATCCGAATTCAGTTCAACGATATTACAATGAATAACTTGGTAAAAATTCATTTTCATAATAATAATAATATTATAATAATAACGATACATATTTTATCGAATTTTTAGAATATAAAAAATATCATTGTTTCAGACAAAAATTATCTTACGTTTTAATATCTAACAAAAGCTTTTTCAAGATATACAAATATCTTATTTGTTTTTTTTTTCTTTTTCTAAATAATATAATTACATTATACTTGTAACACAATATATTCTATTTAATTTAAAAAGAAAACGCGTGTCTTTCGTTGGAACAATGTTTTACTATTCGAAATAAGAAAAGATTATTATATTATCAAAAAAATAATGAATATCATCAAGAAACTTTGTTTGTAAATGTATAATTATATCGTAATATTATTTTGTATTATTATTAATCAATTATTTTTAGGTTGTCTTATTATTGACGTTGTATGGCGTATGTGATGTATTGGCTGGTAGGCGTTACATTGCTATTCCTATTGATGGTATCGATGTATTAGAATTGAATCCTATATCAGCATCGGTTCCAAGAATTGCTCGTCAAGCAGAGCCTGCTGCTTACGTACCAATAACAATGCCAAATCTTCATCACGAGGAGTATGACAATCCACCCCAACGAGCTGAGAGATCTATCGGTCATATTCTTGATTATGTGGATTATGGAGGACATACTGGTTCTAATGGTGCCTTTGGCTGGTACGCCGATTATCCAGCACATCATTGATAACATCGTTCACAATGTCAACCTCAAACATTCAATTGAGTCATCAAAATTATTCCATTAATCCTTTTTTCGAATCATAAAATTTCACAATCTCGCGACGACATTAATTTATTAATCAATAATCGCGCGGTTATATGAATAACTTTTTATTCTTATTAATTAAAATGTGTTCAATTTTGATTATTATCGTATATTTAAGTATCTTATGTATAATTCGATTATTCTTTAATCTAACGTTAATAAAGACAAGATCGATTAGATTTAATTTTTTTTTTCTTTTTTTTTTCATTTTAATATACAGTATATGTAGTTCCTTTTCATTTACGCAAGGTAATTGGTTCCACGACAAACTGCGAGTAAATGGAACTAAGAAAAACTTGTTTCTAATAAATATCCGTTTCACATTCTCAAATATGTATTTAAATCTTACTGGAATAGAAAAATTTAATTTAAACGATTGCGAAATAAAAATTAAACCGAGAAATTTCAGAATTTGTTTGTGTTTTCGCATAACGCATCGCGGTAACATCGAGGTTCTTTTAACTCGAGCATCTGTCTAAATGAATCCACGTAAATGTGTGTTTGTTTGTATGTGCGTGTGTGTTTTTTTTTTAATAATTTTCATTACGTATTTACACGTTTGAAAAATAAAATCTACGATATATACACGGATGTTAATAAATAAAATATCGATAATATTTAAGTTCTCATTTCTTTTTTCTTTTGTGATTCTTATTAATTTGTAACTATTTAATATATATAGATAAGAATAATAATCATAATAATAATAATAATAATAATAATAATAGAGACGTTATGCAAGTAAAACAATTATATTCCATCTTACACGCGAAAACGTGAAACGGATTAGTTAATTGCTCGGCACGAACTTCATCACGAATAAGATATATAACTGGAAGTATTCAAATTCCGTTTCTCGAACCGTCTGGAAAACTTTCTTTGGCGAACGTTACGTTAGACCCTATCGTGGAACTATTCAAGCTTTGTAAAACTTTCCAACACTGTTCCCGAGGATTCTGGCGAAACCTTTCTCAAAGTTTTCGAAACGAATCCGTTAAGCGCCGCCCTTCGTTTCGAAAACTATTGAGAAAAAAGAGCCATTTTTACAAGACGAGATATTTTAGAATTTTACCAATTTCTTACTAATCTATTCGTTTCTTATCATTTTTCTTTGTGATTAAAATAATCAAATAATCAACATTTTGGAGGAATTGTTTGAAATATTCATTTTCCATTGAGTAATAATGGTTTTATTTTTCTGATACATCATCATCATCATCATCATCATCATCATCATACTCATCATCATCATCGTCGTCGTCATCATAATTATCATTATAATTATCATCATCATCATCATCATCATCATCGTCGTCGTCGTCGTTATTATTATACTTATCATCATTATAATAATAATCATAATGCTTATCATCAACCCATTGTTACGATACAATAAATAGCAGGGTGACAACAATATCTCTTTATTACGTTAACATCTAGTTAGGTACAGTGATAACAATTTTATCAAGACTCGCTTTTCATCCCTTTTTTTTTTAATTATATCATCCAATTTGACGAATCACGAAGCATTTAAGTACCATATCGCAGCCTTCTTACAATTAAATAATCTCTCGAATTAGAGAAATGTTTATCCCTCGTCGTATTTTGTTATCCTCGATGATCAACAATATTATTCAAATTATAATTACACACGGATAATAAATCATTTTAATTAATTACAAAAAAAAGAAAAATAATACAAAGAAAACAAAATATTATATCTCCGAATGAATAATAATTTGACGTCGAATTTTTAATAACAACGGGCTTACATTGATTTGATATTTTTCAACGAAGAAACAATCATTCGACGAGGATAATAATCGGATCGTTATGCGAATGCGCGTCATTATTCTCGTACCACCTCCCCTAAACCCCCACCCCTCAACCCACAGCTCACCTGGCCTCCATCCCACTACCTACAATGCTTTTTTTTTTTTTTTTTTATTTCTATCTCATAACTATTCTCTTCGAGAGTTATCTATCTATGTCACATCGAACATTTAAACGTAACAGTAATTACAGCAATTAACATCGATCAACACGTTATTTCCTATAATGCTTTTGCCACTTAATTACATTCAATAAGTGTTATTCTCCCTCTTCCTCTTCCTTTGATTTTACGTATATATAGAAGTATATATATACTCATGAAGATTTGTATTCTTTTTTTGTTTTTTTTTTTTCTTAATCATACAATCATTTATTTCTCTTTCTTTTCTGCTTATTTTATTCGAATCAATTTCTGATCTGTGTTCTGCAATCGACGAAACGTATTTCTAAGAGCATCCAACAAGCAAAATGATAAATTTTGTTTGTCTTTTTTTAAATATGCAAGAGATAAAGTATCAAGAACGAACGAATGTTAGGAAAAAAAGTTGACTTTTTGTTGTTGTTGTTGTTGTTATTGTTGATGTAACGTTGATAAAAAGTTCTACTAACGATCAATTTTCTTTTGTAGCAAGTAAAAAATATTGTTATTGATTTATGTTACTATATTATATTGTTGTTGTTTAATCTCTTTTTCTTAATTTGCTATGACTGCGTGTATTTTATTTTATTTTTTTTATTTTTTTTTTTATTTTTTACATATATAACCTTTTAAGAAATGTTTATACGGTATTTTCAGTGGGATCATGTTTCTCCGCGTACGCGTAACTTATTTTAGTTTTCGTACAATATTTGCAATGCGACCTATGTGTATCTGTCTCCTTTACATTCATGTTACGTGTATTTTCTTTTCTTTTCTTCTTTCCTTTATTTTTTATTTTACATATAACACTTAAACAAAAAATTTACACACACATGTTGTTTTCAGTGTTCCAATGTTTGCGCGTGTATTACGATTTTGATTCGTAATAATAATAATAATAATAATCGTGAGAAATAAAATTAAATTAAATTAAAATTTAATTTTTGCCAAGAATATTTGTTAGAAAAGGAAATTTTATGAATATTTAATAAAAACAATGTTGTGTTGGTCCATCGTGTGCCACCATCTTGAAAATTCATTTACATGCACGAATAAATCTCGTTAACGAATTTTGCAACAAGGAAAAAAATTAAAAAAAAAAATAAAAGAAAAAAGAAAAAAAAAAAAAACCATAAATATGTAGATCCAAGAGAAAGATAGTCATAGTGCGGAAGAGTATGTGTTTTTTATACGACTTATCAAACTAATTCCCTTAGACCCAGCGCTGTCCAACATTGCGGCTCAAACGCAAAGCCACATCCGGCTCGCGACACTATTTTCTTTTTTGTGGTTTATTCGTAGCATATGAAATCAATCCATCCTCGATATATGTTATGGTTAATGTAAATGATTTTTCTTTACACAGCCACACATAAATCATACATTTTTTTTTTTATTTTAACAATAAGAAACAATGATTACTTTTGGAGAAAAGATATTGTTTATTACAAATTTAGCTAAAAGTATATGTCAATTAATCTTTTGCATAGCCTTTTCACAATAATTATTATTATTACTATTATTATTAGTATTAATATTTAGTGTTGTTAATATTATAATAATGATTATTATATATTTAATGTTATTTATCGATATTATATTATTAATATTATTATTATTATTATTATTATTATTATTATTATTATTATTAAATTAGCCCTTTGGTCTGTAAAAGTTGAACAGCGCTGTTTTAAAAGACGTGCTTTGGAAAATATTTGCACTTCGGCAATTTGAGATGCATACATGTAGTTATGTATTGTACATAGAAATGACTGAAGGTGTTTGTGTGAAATTGGCATTATGTATATACACACGTTTTATATACTTTATATTCATATATATATATATATATATATTTTTTTTTACGAGATATCGTGAAACTCGAGACAGGTTATATACGTAATAGAAAAAGAAAAAGAAAAACGGTACAAAATATCACTCAACTCGAAAGAAAAGGATTTTACCTTGTTGTTAAATCCCATTAATGTCGAATAAAAATAAAAATTATACAAATCTTTACCATTATTGTAAAATAATAATAATAATAATATTTATGAAAAATAATTATTAAAAACAAAATAAAGTTACATTAACGATATGTTAAATCTTAAATAAAACGCAACGATCACAAATATCAAACGAATTGTACTGAAAATTATAAATAGAAAAACATTTATAAAAGTTTTCCTATAAAGTTGATTATATAATAAACGATAATAATTAATTAAATATTACTTCTAATTACTTTAAAAAATAGCATGAGATAAGATGTTACAATTGGATGAAAGAGGACGTGTTTGAATTTACGTTTACGTTCATTCGAAGCATTATCGTCCAAGTATCACTGGGTGTGTCCGTTAGTCAGTCAGTGTTAATTAAATCGATAAAAAATTAATGATCAACAATGTGTGAGAATTATCGGTACCTTTTTTAATCAAAACGAATGTTGTTTATGTGTTCCATGTTCTGTTATTTAAAAACGTATTTGATTAACACATTCCATTGTTACGATAACCGAATCTCCATTTTAATTATTTTGGATATTTATTAATTAAAGATTTAAAAAAATTTGTTCGTATATGTATAAGAAAAGAAAAAAAAATAGATACGAAATATTTAATAAATAATCGATTAATATCGATTGAATTAATACGCGTTGTACGAATACATATTAATAAAATATAATTGAATTAATAATATTCACTAGTTAATGCAAATGGATTGATTTACACCTACGTACGCGTGCATATTAAATAGAAAATAATATTTTTGAAATAAAATCCATTAAAAAACGGTAACCGTTCAAATAATAATTCTCGTTATTTTAAATGAAAATTATTGAAAACTTTCTGGCTTAAAATCCTTTATCACAGATTCGAGTTTACTTCGCGAGATAATACCTTTCATACGTTTACATGCATGTCATGTATGTATGTGTGTGTGTATGTTTATCATACATAGACGTATATGTCTAACCGGAAGATCGTATCTCGTATAATAAAGCATAACTAAATTTACCTCGAGTCACGCGAAATGTATCACTTGCTTCTTACGATTGGCCGAAAATTATTTCACCTGGCGTTACTAACCTGCACGATTGCAGATATTCGTATAGTTGAATTGATCAAATAATGTTTTACTACGAGAAAAAATAATGTCCTCCGCGTGTGTAATATTATGTACGTATATTTGTATTTCTTTTTCTTTTTTTTTTTCTTACACTCGGTTCGTGTTAATACGTAATGCTATTTTCTTATGCAAATATACAAGGTGAGCAAGTAAAACATTTCTAAGCGAACCGAAAGTTCACAAATTGTGTGTTTCAAAAATCTATTAATTTTTTTTTGATGGAATATTTTAAAGCTACATTTTTTTTTTATTTTTTCAAATCGTAAAACTACGAACTAAACTCGCGGAATAGCTTACAAAAGTTTCAAATGAAATAGATTAGATTAGATTTTGTAAAAGGATAGGTAAATCGATTTTTAATATCACTTTAAAACTTTTGGTCCACCTAGAAACTTTAATCGCACCTTATATATATATATATGTGTGTGTATGTGTGTATATAACTAGGAATTGCAACGAATGAAAGAAAAAGAAATGGCGAAACTTTCTTCTTTCTAATTTCACTGGCGTAGACGTTGCAGTTTCTTTCTCTTGACACACCCAGCAATCTTCTAAGCTCGCGTGATTATGATAGAAAAAAAAAAAAAAAAGGAATAAACTTACGTCACTCTTTCGCGTTTTCTTCTTAATAAACAATGCGATTTACAGGTACATCTATTCTTTCAAAGAACATAAGACTATAATTTCTAAAAAATTATAATAATACTAATAATAGTTCTGCTATTCGATGATTACGAAGACGAAAAGAAAAAAAAAGAAAAAAACATAATCAAACAGCTTAAAACGTATTTCAAAATTAATATGTTAATTAACTTTATAGAAATATATATTTAATATGTATATATATATATATATATATATAATGTGTATGTTTATATTCGTAAATGGATTGAAAAGTTTTGAGCCTAAAAAAGAAACAAAAAAGAAACAATTTGATTTTGACAGAAAAACAATTTGTTTTTACGTTAATTTGAAAACTTTTCAACCTAGTATATTGAATATTTGTATAAATGTGTTTCGCATTCATAATTCGCGTATAAATAGCACATTAAAACGTAATAATTGTCGATGATACAGGTACGTGATATATTATTATTATTATTATTTATCAATAATATTAATGCATAAAAAGAGAGATAATACTCGATTAGGATTTTAATATTTATTTTTGATCGAAGAATATTTGTTCCTTTGTTACTGCACCGGAATTAGAAATTCTAATATTTCTTTCACAGCACGAACACACAATTCCATTTCTGAGATAAGAATTTCTTGGAGATCGAAACTTTTTTAACGGCAGATTATTATTTATTATTATTATTATTATTATTATTAATATCATTATGCTTATTAAT